GGTTCGGAGGCCTTTTTGTCCTCGAAACATAATGGCCGGATGGCATATTGGCCAGGGGACAATTAGGCCAACGATCTACAAAAAATCTAACTAAAAATTAATCTAAACAGAAATGGGACACAATGCCCCGGAACTAATAGTACACGATCGAACGATTTGATATCTAATTTAACAATATAACAATAGTAACTAATCCCCACCCCTGATCGACACTATGAGATTGATCAATTTATGCAGACGAAGCCACGCGTTATGGTATTACAAATCTTCTCATTCTACAATTAATACTGCTAAATAAATCAGTTTACTTTTAATCATTAATATTAAATGGCAAGGGATAATATTTAGTTATTGGGGGTCAGGGGCGGATAAATATCAGCCTATCGGCTGATATAGCTCCTGCCCAATAACTCTTTATTGAGTGGTCTATTAAGATCAGTCCCGTTGAGGTTATAATAGATGCTTTATGTGATACTTATAATCCCTAAGCCCCTAAGGAGAGAGAGAACCAAAATGATGTCCTTTTAAAAGGTTCAATTTATGATGACATTCCACATGATTATAGAGAGTGCGGTTAAATAATATGATGCCTAGCTTAGGGAATCCAAAATATTCACGTTCGATTATTTTGTGATCAGCACAGGATAAGCTTATGTCACCTCCTAATAGGTGTTTTAGGTGATCGAAAACGTTTATTTCAATAGAGACGAGACGAAATGTAGATCAATTTAATATTATAACAATAAAAATTAAATAAGAAGAAAAAAAAGAAGGATTATATTTATTGAATACAAAGAATATTACTGCCTCTTCCGGCGCTCTGAAATAGGCCTAAATAGAAGATAACTATTCTAATCTAATCCTACTGAAACTCAAAGCAAAATCGAAGCACTTTATAACAGTTTTTCCCCAGTATTACTGAATCCCTTAAAAATATCAATGTGCTTGCGTCTGAATGACAGATATACTATTTAATTGATCCCTGATGTCAAAAATGGTCAATGACATATCTATTCCATCAATCCGAGATCATAAAGGTTCGAAATTTCAATTCCAACAGATATGTCAGAAATCACATAACTCGAGTTTTTAGGCGCAGTCAAATTCCGAGGGTGACACTTACAACAAATCAAAAGAATATAAAAATTTTAATAGGATTTCTTCTACTAATTTGAACCTACATGATTATTCAGTTTGTGTAACTGTAATTATTTTTTATTTTAATTTTACTAGATAACTTTTGTCGTTCCTTAACTTCTTTTTTACTTTAATTCGACAAATAATTTATTTCTTAGTAATAAAATACTCTCGTGAATTTTCCGTACTACCGAAAAATAGATCAACACGTTTGAAGGGATAATTATCGTCGTCGAAGGTAAAACTTATGTCATAGAAGGCCGTCTGTAAATTCAATTTTCTTATACACCTGCTTTGTAATCACATTAATAAAAATTAATAAACTTTATTAGCCTAAAGTTTGATTTTAGTATGGCTATAAAATCAAGATTATATTGCAATTTAAAATTAATTACTACACGGTAATCTTTTTTCATAATTAATACAATCTATGTTGTCTTATGTGAGTGAAATATCCTTATTTTTAGGAATAAATTTTTAGTTTCTGCAAAAAAAAAAATTATTTTTTGGGTACTATTAGGACCTATTATTTGCAGAAAAACAATCACCTATAACATGTCTACTTTATTATCTTCGGCTAAACTCCGTCAAGAACTTAATGGCTTCCCACTAGAATCACACAATTGATAATTTATGTGCATTATTCATTACCATATTCTTGTTCGCATCATTTCATATTTGTAAAGACAAATTTACTAAAATTGTGCATTTTTTCCTGCTTCATATGTTCAAAAACCATGCATTATCATAGATCAACCAGTTGCTGGTAAGAAAATGTAAAAAAAAAAATAAATAAAATTTTGGCCAAACGTTACTTTCGTAAATAATTTATACAGAAAGTTTCTTCCCTTATAGTAACAATTTCAAAGAAAAATACTGGATTCGTGTATGTCCTCATTAATCACCCAAAAATTTACGTAGGAAAATTTCTTATCAGTGCATTAGAACGTATTTATGACAGGTTCATAAATACATGCTATATGATATAGATTTCTTACTACCCTCTAACATGACCATCAAATGGGATAATAATCCAATAATCGTTGGACCTCACCAATCTACCAAGGGGAGAACATAAAGTTACGATATACATATAATCGAATTTATGGTAACAAAGAAGTGCATGTTGAGACAAAGATTATGATCTCTATGGTAATTAATTCCCTTGTTAAAAATTAATAATTTGGGCATATTAATTCTTGTTGCCATTAAGTATCTAAATTAGAAACAATTATGAAGGCAGATTGGAAAGTTAGAAAATATTATTCTGGACATTATGTAAATAAATGATACCGCTTTTCTACAAGTTATTTTAACCTCATACTTAAATGCTGTTCCACTTTTTAATGACATCTCGTCACCTTAAAAATTTGAAAGTAGGAGAATTAAAGACAACATTTATTCCTTTGGATTCTGTATATAAGTTATTTACATTTGGCTTCGGATCTCTGTCTCCACAATCTATTTTAAAAATTATTAGAAAAATTTTAATTTTTGTGTTTGTACCTACAAATTGGTTTACTGAAAACTGTTCGAAAAAAAAAATAATCTGATAGTTTTTCCTAATGTATAAATCTTGACCCTATTCGATCTTAATCTTGACTGCATATTACAGCGTTAATAATATTTACTATTAAAATAGTTTTCCTTGCCTTTGTCCATATATTAATGTCACCTTAACTGCATTTGAACTAATAAGCACTATGAAAATAAACCTCACTTACTGTTAGCATCTGTGAGAGAGTAGCGATCAAAGGGCGGTTCTTTATTCGTTATATTATTAGTAAGGGGTTATAGTTTTGTACCAGATAAAAGAGATGTGTTGTGATCATCAAAAGTGAAGAAATACGATCTCATTCTTAACAGTTTGAAATCGGCTAAGTCTGTAATTTAGTCACCTTCCATAGGAACTTAGACAAGTTCCTTTGCTGATAATTTCAATTTAGTTGGGTATCTCGAAGGTCAATAAAAAAAGTAGCCAAAATGCCAAGAAAAAAGATAGTCTAAATTTGCCATCAAATTCATGATGCCATTATTAGACAGACCATTGAATACGAAAATTGATTAACGCAGTAAGTGAATGGCATATCGTTTCTAGCTTACCGTTCCGTTTCAATTCATTGGATTTTTGTCGTCTAATTCCAATGTACATTAATGATTTGCAATATATGAATTGAATAATCGAAGTATTTCATTAAATTATTGCCAATTATGAGAGTCGAACTTTAAAGAAATGGCGATTGTTAGATTTTATTCAATCCAAATAATTACTTTTTTTTATTCCAGAATAGCATGAAATTTATGTATTGTTCTACTTTTAATAAACTTTATATTTATAATCGTGACATACAGTATTTATCTTAGTATATACATATATAATGTATAGTTGCCTGACGAAACTCCTGGGTTTAGACAGACCGTCGAATGTCGAAAGTGGCAAAACCTTAATAAAATCATATAAAATAACCCGTCGAAACCAACCAAGCTATATCAAACAGTCGAAACTATATTATGGACTTATTAAAAACCAGTCGAAACAAGAGGTTTAAACGTTTCGACAAATCCAAAATAGGTTTCGTCAGGCAACTATAATATAATGCACGTATTTTAACTTTAATTCATATGACCCAAACATTCATTATAAAAGATTTTATGTAAATCCATCTTCATTATTTTGTACCGTCGGAGCGATGTGCTAATTCATATGATTTATTATGCCGTCATTTACGGAAAACTTTATTTTTTATTAAGTATTTTGAAATCTCTTTTCAATTAATAATTATTTCTAAGTACAATACGTGCCCAAACTATAATTCGTTCATGCGCTGACAAATACGCACAACTTTGATTAATTTATTTAACTTTGATTAGAAACCGTGAAATAAAATGGTCTGTGCTATTCATGCCACTTTCCCATTTTTGATATTGTCATTTAACGGCTATCATTTTAATTAATCAAAGATACTTTCTTATCTCCCCGATAATTAAGTATAGTAAGTTTTATGGGAGCGGACAGAAATAACGTCATTAATTTTAAGAAATTTTTATCTTCAGATGTTTAATTATTTATAAAAGAAATTGTGAAACTAAACTTTTAAAATGATGTCTTTTGACACTCCTCGCTATAGTATTTTAACTAAATTTGGAAAAGCATATCATGAATCAGAACTTTGTCTCGCGTGTTAATTAAAATAAAATAAATATAATCTTGCGGTCGGATGAAACTTATTTTTAAAAAAACGTCTTTCGAATTTTTTCTTGGATTGAATCATAACTTTTTCATTTACTTGAAGGTGCAAGTGATTAAAATTTTATTATCAAAGTAAGAGAGAATTCCAATACAAAGGAATTTCATGCACATACTGATATCTTGAGAGCACGCTCTCCTTATTTTAATCGAGCTCTTTCAAAGGATTGGGTTACAAAGGATAATAACAATATGATTAACTTTAATAAAACAAATCTTACTCCTAACGTTTTTGAAATAATTTTGAAGTAATAATCTCTACATTTATTTGCCTATTGAACATTTAATTCTTTCGTCTATTAAAATGTCAATTTCTATTTTTTCTGCTAAGATACATGTACACAGGTGTTCTTTATTTGAACGAACAAACGAACAAGCATCCGATGAATTACTTCTTGATGAATTGGTTACATTTGTACAAAATTATTTGATTAAACAAAAACCGAATGGTTACAACAAAACCTTGTTAAGATAAGATACTTCACACGGTTTTCAAACTAAACAACTCCAAAATTATTGTTTTGTGACGATCCCGAACCATTTTTAATTCTCCTAATATTAATATTAGAAAAAAGTATTCTACTTGAATTAGTTAAAAGAGAAGATTTACAAATCGATGAAATTAAATTATGGAATTATCTTATGGGGAATTGCTCAAACTTCAGAATTCAGAGGAAATAATACAACTAATTTAGGTATTTGGAATAAAAAAAAACTTTTTGGCTTTGAATATGTCTTTTCATACGGGAATAATGTTATTGGGCTGAAACTAGCGGCGAAAGATTATTTTTTCATTAGGTGATGGAAAAGATTGTAAAGATTTTTAAGGTTAGTCGAGTTGTGAACAGAAAGAGAGCAATGTATGAATCGAATCATAAAAATATGCCATTAAATTTTGGTAATAGTGATTTGGTTATCAATCTTTATCGTGATATCAATGCATTAGCAAACGATCCTTTCGAAATTTTGAGTGATGATATAAAAGGTACGTGCAAAGAGCCCATTATGAAAATGAAATATTGGATACAAAATAAAATTGACTATTGAAGAAATGGAGATTTTTAGACTGACTGCGTGTGAAGGGTGAATTATTTTATTGATTATAAAAATACTTAATTTATCTTTTTTTTTCATCATGAACTTTATTATTGAAATAATGGATAAATTTTCCAATTATTATTGTTATATTTATAATTCTTGAATCAAAATTAAAAATTATTTAATTGTTTGCTCTGTGATTTATAATCAATTTTATTTTAATGCAGTTAATTAAATGTCATCAATGAAATATTTCTAAACACAATATTAATAATATTAATAGCGATTATGTAAGAATATTAAATAAATGATAAGAATTTTCATAGATATAAGCCTTATTAGCCAAACATGCGGCTTTTCCTTCCTAATATGTAGTAATTAAACAATATTTTCATTTTGAAAAGAATAGTTTTCACCCGAAGCCCATGTAATCACATTAAATATAGATATAAATTTATTGCTGGTGTTGACCTGGGATTTCGTTTTCTTCTCAAGTCAACAAGCTCTTATTTGATTCTAATTTAGACCATCTGATTTTAGATTTATGTAGCATTCGATTAATAAGATTCACTAGAGTGGGTAGCTATCGCTTTGTGAAAACACGAAGAAGATTGAAAGGTAAAATAAACAACTATATTAATTAGAAATTCTGCAAGTCTTTTCTTAAGACTTGTTATCACAAGCTAGCATAATCTAATTAAAAATTTAAGAGAAACACTTAATGATTCTCTTTTTTTTCTTGTATATTTATCATAAGCTAAAGAAGAACAAAGCCTGTTGATTTTATTAAGGAATTAGATGCTAAGAATTATAAATCAGAGTTTCAATTTAAAATTACAAAAGATAATTAATATTACTGAATACAAGAAAGAATTGATTTATTTTGTCAACTTTATTCTTTACTATATAAGTCTTATTTTTAAAGTAGCATTCTTTAACATTATCGATTCAGGCTTACATTTAATTCTAATGATATAACTTTTTCTTTGTTGAAATTTCTATATCCTTAATCATTTATCCATAATCTGTTTTCCTTTCATTCTTTTATTGATAAATATAGACTTTAGGTTTTATATGTATTCTAATAAACTATTTTCTTGCAAAAAAATTTTCACGTCCTTTCTTTTTCTTAATCTCATATTACGATACTATATATCAGAATAACTATTATTAATTACAAATAACTCATACCGACCATTGTTATTTTCATTTGAGATTATACGAAACGACGTAAAGAAATCCTTTAATTTTACATTTGTATATATTAGAAAATTAGAAAATTTGTATATAATTTAAATATTATATTTGTAAATATTCTACGTTCCGTAGAAGATTTGTATAGTTGAATTTAAAGTTCCTATATAAAAAGTAGTTTCATAAAAATTGGAATATTGGTAATATAAGTTGTGATACTTCAAAAATTTAAAAACACTTAAAACCTTCTTTTTTATCTTTATCGATTCCAAATCCTTCTTAGAAAATTTTCTAACCAACAATTTTAATATGTTTCTGGATTATTTTTTTTCAAATTATTTTTAAATTCTGATAAAATATCAAAATTTTATAAAGTGATTACAAACAAGTAATCATATCAAAACCATCAGACATTTTATGATTTTAGTTCTTAGTTTGCCATTGTAATTATCTACATTTAATAACTGGTTAATAAAATTTTTTATGATCGAACAATCAAGCTTAAACCATTATACTCGCATTATAAGGAATTATCTATAAGCATCTATACTTAGCGACGTCGGTTTATCTTTGTTTGATTGATTCCAATTCTTCTAGTATCTAATATAAAGACTTTTAAAGTTATTGATATATCAAAGGTAAATGAATTAATTGTTTTTCTCGATTCTAATAATGATTTAAGTATTGATCATATATCGTTAGAGCATCACAAATGGTGACGCCTACCATAACTCTCAAAAAAACACATTCCTTTTAAATTTGTGATGTTTGCCAACATTGTAGATTCATAGTGGCCATGGAATTAGAAAAGAAGACTTCATTTTGCTAAATCTTGAACAAAGCACTTTCGATCCAGTCACCTCTCACAGGCTTTTGCGCGCACTACATATTGATAAAATTTTTAATTAAAATTTAATGGCCGAAATCTTGTACGAAAAAAAGTCAGAAATAATTTATTTCTCGAATTTTTACTTATAAATTGCGTATCATGATCACAATTCCTAGGTTAATGTTCTTTGTATGCATATAACGGTTTAATAATTTATTTTGGAACATACTTTATTGAAGCTCTTTCTGCTATTGATTATTTAATAATATTATGCTACAATGTTCAGTTCTCAATATATCGATTCAAATTTACTATGTTTTGAAATATTTGCACTATGAATCATATAATAAATAAAAAATTCTTTTCATACACAGCTAATTAAAAACTTATCGATATTAAATTTCAATAATGATGAATATTATGGTTAAAAGAATAGTCTATTGACTAGGATAAATTATTTGTAAGAGAATTAAGGTAATATATATTGAAACATTAAAAATAAACCTTAAGATTTAATAAACTTTGAAATTTATAATAAATTCTATATAGATTTAAAAATAATTTATTCTTATTTTTATATGTATATTTTAATAAATATATTTTTTTTATATATAATTTTATTCAAGAAATCCTCTTAAAGTAACTTATGAAAGATTTCAACATAAATTAATATCCAACTGTTGTTTAAATCATTTAAAAATTAAATTCTGAAACTAAATAATGAATGAAAAATTCAAATATTTAGTTATCATACTGTATTTCTTTAAATATCTAAATATAAAATTAAATAACTTACTATTTAAATCATCATTTATATTTAATTGCAGATTTAAATCATTTGTTTGCATTTCTAAAATAGAAATTATTGTAAGATTTATGTATAATTAGTAAATATTTAAATCAATAATATATTAATTTATATTACTATACCTTCACTTGAAATGTTATTAATATTTGTTTCTGATTCCGTAGGAAAATTCTCATAAATTGAATTATTTTCTTCATCTGTTCCGCACCCCATTTTTTTAAATTCTTCTAATACTTTTTTAATACTAGGCCGTTTATCAGGTAGAGAATCCCAACATTTTTCATAAAGATCCTTATAATCTTCAGGCGTTACTTCTACATTATCTTCACGGTATCCTTTAGGAATTTTAAGATAAAGTAACTCAAGATCACATTTACTAGTAAGATTTTTAAATGGAGAAAATCCGCTAGAGATTTCCCACATAATTACACCATAACTGTAAATATCCGAAGCCTTTTCATACTGAAAATTTAAATCCAAAAGTTTTTTTGGATCTACATATGGAATTCTACCAAATGTTCCAATATGAATAGTAGAATATTTTGAATTCATATTTTTTGAAAGACCAAAATCTGTAATTTTAGCATTACCATCATGAATTACTATATTCTTAGAATGCTAAATTAAAATAGATATTTTAACATTTTAAATAACCTTTTAGAAAATTAATTAAAATAAATAAATAAACTATGCTAATACTTACAAGATCTCTATGCAAAATATTTTCATTATGTAAGTAATTTAATCCTTCAGCAATTTGAAACGCTATCATTTTCTTATTATCCCAAGTTAAATTTTTAAAATTCTTTTCAAGATAATTTTGAAGATCACCATCATTAGCATATTGCATTATAAGAAAATAATCATAATTATCTATAAGAATGAATTTTTTATTTTTATAATAAATAATTTTAATTTAAAAATTATAATATAATTATAGATCAATCATAAATTTACCTTTACTAATGCCAAAACAACGAATAATTCGATCGCTATAATTTAGACATAAATGGATTTGTAATTCATGAATAAAAGCATCTAATATATTACCTTTAATAGATTGTATATTAGTTAACTTTTCATAAATAATACAAGATCCTGATTTAATCCAAATCGCTTTCATAATAGATCCAAATCCACCAGAAGTTAGTTTTTTAGAATTTATTAATTGGTCAAAATGTATAAATTTAACTTTTTCGCATCTTAAAGCATTTTCTATCCAATTACTCGCATTATCCTTTTGATTATTATTTTGGAAATCATCAGATTCTAAAACTACAAAATTTATTAATTATACAAATTTATTTCATATTATTTTCAAATATCACTTAAAAATACTTACTTTGATAATAAAAATTGGTTTATAATAAAGAAATATAAACAGATTATAACTTACTCACTATAAATTTAAATATGTTTTTTAATAAAAATTTATAATAAAAAGCATAATGAATACTGGCAATTGATAAAAATACTTACAATCGACATTTTCAGTAGCTTTTTGATTATTTTTTGTTCTTTCAAGATTAATTTGTGAATCTAAATCATTATTTTCAGCAACAATTGAACAATTGGATCATGATTAAAGGTTTTTTTTAAAATTATTTTCGTTTCTTCTACATTTTGATTCAAATCTACAATAAGACTTGATGAATCACTTGATTGTGCAAAAATTGATTTAAGAATTGTAACAATTTTTTGAATATTTGGACGCTTGTTAGGTTCATATTGCCAACAATCTAATTAAATTGGGAAATTGAGATTAGAATTCATTCTTTAAGTCAAAATAAACAAAATATTTACCTTGACATAAGTTGCTATATTCCGTAAGTGTTCCATTAATAATAGTTTCTCTTTTTCCCTTTATAATTCCTATGATTAATAATGCCAAATTAAAATCAGAACTTTCATTATGAAATGGTTGCTTTCCACTTGAAATTTGCCACATCAAAACTCCAATGCTATAAACATCAGATTGTTTATTTAATATGTAATTTGGATTTTCTAAACATTTTGGATCCATGTAGGCGAGTTCACCCGTTATTTTTGAAAAACGCTTTGACATTTCAGCAATTTTTTTTGATTCACTAAAGCCTGCGAATTTAATCATTTTCTGATGTATAAGTATATTGTTTGCATTCTAGATTTGTTTATTTAAAATAATAATAAAATTATTAAGAATAATATATAAATAAAAATATACAAGAATTTTCAAAAAGTAATTTTACCAGATCACGATGTACAATATTACAATCATGTATACATTCTACAGCACCTGCAAGTTGCAAAGCTAGCTGAAATTTATCATTCCAATCTAGTTCATGAAAATGCTTATTTAAGTAATCATTTAATGTGCCACTATCAGCGTATTCTATAACCACAGAATATTTTTTCATTACATCTGCATAACAAATAAAATTACTTAAATTTAATGAACTTTTTTTTATTAAAGAATCATATTATATTGAATTAATTTACCCGTATCTTCCTTCGTGATTCATTAAAATCATATAATATTTGGATGGAAATTAACTTGTTTATGTAATTTTATCTATAAAGAAATTTATTCATAAAATCAATTTTATATTTATTGAAATCTTATTTAAATTATTAGAATATTTATACATCATTTAAAACATTTTCCAAAGTTATCTTATCAATTTTAAAAGATTTCAAGTAAAAAAAATGATCCGTACTTTTCCATTTTACACGTACAACATTTCCAAATGCACCATTTTCATTTGGTTGGAAATCGCTGAAGTTGGAATACTCATAAAAAGAAATATGTTCCTCTGAAATTGACCTTTCAAACTATTAATAAAATTTTTATTTGACATCATTTTTCTTATTTTTTTTTAATGTCAAAAAAAAAAATTATGTTTATTGCAATATGTACAGTTCTGATTCGATTTTACTATAGCGAAAATCATTGCCTTAAAGTCTTTTTTGGATAAAGCAACCCAAGAGCACCCCGAAAAATTCTGCTATCGGTGATCATCTTGTCAATCATTTCTGACTGAAATAACTATATCGAGAAAAAACTGATTTTTGATATAGAAAAAAAAGATGATTTTAAATGCTATTTTTGACTTTCATATTATTTTGTAAATAATTAATTTTCTAAAAATGGCATTTAAAATCCTAATTAGCCCTCTAACCAAACTTGTAGAGCAGGCAAAAATACAATACAAGATGCGACTTTAGAAGCTTTATACAGTTTATATTAAGTTATATTTAAAAAAATAAAAAAATAAAAATTTTCGTTAAATTAGGCTATCCATATTATGATCGCCGATAGCAGAATTTTTTTGGGGTAGTATGAATCACGAGACTCCACAAAAAGTCGCAGTCACATGATATGATTTCGAAAATTATTAGCTTTGATTATTTGACAAATTTATACTTCAATTAACCAGTCAAATTTGTATGATGCAACAATATTGTAGGGATTGAAATCGTGTCAAGAATCAAAATCAAAAATGCTAAAAACGATTGTAACTCTTATAAAAACAATTTATAAGTATAATTTATATTATAATTTTATTTATTTAAAAATAAAGCTAAAGATATTAAAAACAAACATTCTGTTTCACAAGGAATATACATTAAAATAGTACAATAAAGTTGGTTTGGAACCGGTTTTATTTTAACAAACTGGTTTTAAACACTTTTTAATTTGAGACCCGAATTTAAACCGAATTTATATAAAACCGGTTCAACCGGGCATTCGGTTGTAATAAAACCGAAAACCGAATTGCGATCTTAATATTTTTCTTTTAATAAAAAATAAATTCAAAAATCGTTAAGACATATTATATGACAAAATGTTAACTAAAAAAGATTAAATCTCTTGAGGTGGAAAAATATTAAAATGTACACTATTTCTCTTTAAAAATAAACTTGATTAACCAAATCTGAAGATAATTTATTTAAACCTTGTCGACTTTCGACATTAGCATATTATGGTTTCGTACCGCAACTATACAAACGCATCTGATAAAAAAAAAAGTACCATACAATATCTATAAAATCATACAGTTAAAATCATGCTTTATTGAAATAATAATTATTTCCTTAATTTCTATAAATCTCTAACATTATTTCGAAACCTATATCACGCGAAAATAATAGGATTTATAAAAATCTTGTAAAGTGTAATGTCTAAAAGTATGCTTTTATTATCCAATCAAATTTAGTTAAATTTATTCTTACATGTCAGGAATTATAAAAAAAAAAAAAAAACAATTGAAACTATTTATGTTAAATAATAGGCGTTCTCAATCACCTCTCTCAATGTGGGTGGTTAGTGATTGAGTCGATGCTCCAGCTTTACAATCAATTGAAATATAATATAAATGGAGATTGCTTGATCAACCTCTTTTTATCTTACTATCAATTTCATTTCATTATGAATAATAAAAAAAAAAAATACCAAAATAGCTTCGCAGTACTTTAGCTCCGGCTCCCTTTACTAACTCAACTATCATAAAAGTGGTGTTGTGACCAATTTACGATGGTGATGGTCCCGTCGTTGAAGATTCATAATAAAGAGTCAGATCATTTATAAACCCATTGAGGGAAACGCCCAATATCAATAAACTAAATCTGAGTTTCGTAACGTAACCCTTTTCTTTTGCAAATAAATAAATATTTACAGTCAACTCTCTTTATAACGAACCTCTCCATAACGAACTCTGGATATAACGAACTTTATATTATAAAAATTAGAATATTTCTTATAGAAAACATAATAAAATTTATAACAAACTTTTTTTTTCTAATAGAACCACTAGTTCGTTATAAAAAAAGCTGGCTGTATTTCTTTTAAAAATATAATTCTTTTTTGGTTTAGTAAATTACTGAAAATACACTCTTGATAAAACTTTATGAAATTTTAAAAGTCTACTTTTTATTTTTCTTTGGTACATTATCTATTATGTTTCTTACATTTAATGAGCTTGTTCATTTTTCATGTATTTGATTATAATAGGATATAAATATTTTCATATTAAATAATTACTAAATAATTACTAAATTAATTGCAAATTCCAAGTTGTACTGATTTTAATTCAGTATTATAAAAAAAAAAAGTAAATGCCAATCATCAGAATATACATTAACACATAATTCATGAATGCAATAAGCAAACCACTTGATTGAGTAATTAAATATTATTATTTATAATTAAACTAAAAAAAACATTTTTCGATTTGTTTTGATAATTTATTATAGAATCATGACAAATCACGAGTATCATAAATTAAATTATCTTCTATCCATCACTCTCTGTAACGCAGATAATTTACCTGAGAAACGTCACAATTTACTGTTTAAGGGATAATCGTCTTTAATTATCTTGCTTGCTCTCCATGCAACCATGGCAGTAGGAGCATTAGTGTTACCATTTGGAATAATTGGAAAAACTGAAGCGTCAACAACTCGAAGATTTTTTGTTCCATATACTTGAAGTCGATGATTAACACATCCTCCTTGGGATTCTGGTGCCATCTTAACGGTACCGCATGGATGAAATGATGTATATGACTAGAGAGCGAAAAAAAATAAAAAAATAAAATATATTAAAAATCAATAATAATTGCATTTGAAAATTTTCTTGCCACAAGGTTGGATGAAAATTACCTTTCCACGAATATAACATTCCCAATCTTCATCTCTCATCTCATTGTCCACACTACACCATTTTCCAAATTCATCATTAAATGCAAGTTCTTTTATGCCCCATTCAGTACTTAATGGAGGTTGTTTAAGAATTTCACGTGATAATTTTAAAGAGCTCATCATTCTATACAAATCATCAGATTTTGAATAATAATTGAGAAATATTTTTGGTTGCATAAATGAATTAGAACTACATAATTCCAGGTGTCCGGCACTCGACGGGAAATTTAAAACAGAGAGCAGAGTAACCGTTTCAAAGTTTGGAGGAGATTGTTTAGTGACATAAGCATTAATAATAGGATCATATACATTTGCTCCTACTACAAAATTATGAATAATGAATTATATAAATGTTTCAAAAGATTTAAAAGATTTCACACAAATTATTATCCTTCTAACCTACCATAAACTTGAATATCGGGATTTTCATTAAGGAATTCTTCACGACTGGGGAATTTTCCTTTAACATTACCTTTATGGAAAATTCCAAGTTTAAATCCATTACACCAAGAATTAAATTGAGAAATGCTTGCATTATTTGGAATAGAAATTTTTCCAGTAACCGTACACACAGGATGATCCTGTAGATTACGTCCAACCGGTAATTCTTTACGAACTTTGATATTATTTGCTTCCAAATTATTTTTCGGACCGATTCCTGATAGCATCAAGATCTTTCAAATTTATTAAATATATAATATAAATATTTATAACGGACTTAATCATATTGATCATCAACTCATGAAAATTTCAATATCGAATAATTTTAATTTTTACCTGAGCGCTATTAATAGCACCACCACAAATAATCACTTCTCCCTTAGGAGCAATGAAAGCATTATGAACTCCACCGTCATAGAAATACTTAACGCCAATTGCTATATTTTCATCTTTCTTTTCTTCATCCCAAATAATATTCAACATGTGAGCAGATGATTTGACATTAACAGCAACGATCTTTGCAACGCCACTGGCCAATCCATAAGGAGGACCTAATCTTTTTAATGGAGGGTACGTTTCAACCTTTTTCAATGCATCTGTCAAATAACTATCAGCCAGCGAACAACGATTTCCATCTTGTGTTGTGGTCTATATATTATATTATTGTTATTAAAAACATATTTAAAAGTTTTATTCACAAAACTACTAATTTACCTGAAATTTTCCTATTCCATTTTGTCTAGCACCATTAAAATCGTTATTATAAGGAATGCCAAGATTTTTTGCAACTTTAATGAAATCTTTTGCAATCTCATAATTATCGTTTGGACTATCTTGTACATGAAGTAAACCATTAAATCCATGATACTTTTTAAATTCTTCGTTAGTGTTTTTACGAGCATTGTTTTCAATGGCTTTGAAAGCTTTTATAAAATAATTGGTTCAAGTTAAATTTAAATTTTAAATCATAAATCTTTAACAAGTATAAGATGAATACATACCCTCAAGACAATGATCGTAATCCCAAATTTTGTATTCAGGACCTAGGGCCGCCCAACCATCGTAATCAGCCTTTTGACCTCGCCTAAAATCATAAATATAATTAATTTAAGCCATCCAATTTGAAGTTTTACATAACAAACAAAACATATTTCAAAATTTGAATGTAAAATTTATTTTTAAAAAAAATATACTTGCATATAAATCATTGCATTTACAGTACTGCATCCTCCAATTACCTTGCCACGTGGATAAGGGAACCCTTTATTTAATAATACTTTTGTAGGTTCGATAATGCTGGGCATTTTTTGATCTTCTGTTTGATATCCCCAATCTACCATACGTGCTCGATAAGCCTATTTATAATAAATCGTTAATCAATAGGATTTGATAATTTATTTGGTTCCATAATACTTACCAAAGGAAAGGTACAAGGTAAACGCATTAAATCATTAATTTGTGAATTCGGTGGACCAGCTTCTAATACCAAAATATTAACATTGGGAATATTATAAATCAGTTCTCTTGCTAATACACATCCGGCAGTTCCAGCTCCAACAATAATAAAGTCATAAATTTCATCAGCCTTGTCAAATTTTTGACGTTGATCACGGTAATGAATACTTTCTGACCAAAGGTTGCGAATATCTGCATTAATTGCCTTTGTATTTTTGTCGTTTGATTCTTTCATAACGTATCTATATTTTTTTAAATTTAATTAAATTTTTTTTTGAAGTAGTAGTTTTTTTAGCAACCTAATTTTTTTCTTGATCCTTAAATAATCCGATCCGATAACTCGGAAAGGAAAAAAAAAATTTTTTTTCTTCATAATTGAAATGGGAAATTACTTTCTATTTTAGGATTGATTAATAATAAGTTTTCAAGATGCACTAATTGTAAAATTCTAATTAACTTCTTTTTATAGAATATCTTCAACATTTAAAGATTAGAACCAAATCTCTAAATCAGAAACATGTGAACTGTGAAAAGAATCTTTTTGAATTAACCATCAAAGTCAAAACAAAAACCAATTTAAGGATAGCTATAGGAATTACTTAATTATTAATTTTATTGAACAAAAACGATTTTCAATTAGTTATACACAACTTCTATACAAATACCATCAGAGCATTGAAATATATGATTATGTTATAAATTAGCAAATTTGCTTGTAATGTTATAAGAATTGGTTTAATAGAAACGAATTTTGATAAAATGTGTAACTCGCCATATAAATACACATTTGCATGCTCTTTATTTCAATCTAAATTCTTTAAAAGTCAAATTTACTATTAATTTCCATAACATTATTTTTGAAAATATTTAAGAATCCAACCGAAGTAACGAATTTATATATTCTAGTCTAGATAATTAAATTCAGTTCTAATTATTTTAGTTCATAAAAAATCAGTTTTATACATATCTAAAGTAAAGAAATTTTATTGTGAGTGTACTGTAAAGATTCGTCCAAAGACAACTCCCATGATTAAAGCAGGATTAATGCCGTAACGTTTCCTGCTATCCTTATTTGAGCCAAAATTGTGAGTTTACAATAAAACAGAAGGAAATTGACGCCTTAACATTGCGAGTTGAGATTTAACTGGCTGAACAGCCATTATTTTTTTTAATAAGGAATTCTTTGTATTTAAATTAAAAAACATTTCAATAAAATTATTTTTTATTTAATTATATATAAAAATTTTTAAAATAAATATAAAGTCCACGACAATGCTGCGCATCAAAATACTAATGACGAGTAAATCATTTTATATAAAGAAGTTTACAAAAATGCTATGACCAAAAATGATTTTCGCATTACCTTTTTACCTATATAGAGATATATTTATTACTCCGATTATAAATTTTTGTAGAATGTAAATTACCAGTGTGTTCTATGAGTGCGTTTTACGGTATATTGTCTTCGTTACACTCCTGACTAAGATCAAATAAATATTAATTCTTTCATTAATCACAACATTGAATTAATGTTATGAAAACATTCAACAATCTCCTTTATTTTAAAATTAATTTCGAACGTTCTATTTTTCCATCCAAAATTTGAAAATTTTCGATTATATTTTTATTTTTATTATCTCCGACAGTAATATTAATCTCGTCATTTTCATAATAATAGTCCTCGATATTTGCAAACTTTTCATTAAAATCTATAAGATCATTAAATGATATTTCTAGATTATGGACCATCCTTGGGCATGGTAATAGCTTTGGCTTTGTATTTGGAAGCGTTCTGAACCTTCTAAATATCTTATATTGAAAATGCAAATCTTGAGAAATATTAATACAAAATCCACGCATCTGTTTCTTCATATGCCAATGACCAGAATGATTACTGGGAGGAGGTGCTCCTCTATAGTTATTATTTACATCAGGATTATTATCATTATATTGATATGACCAGAACTCGCCTTTACGATTATGTTCTTTTTGTAAATTCCACTTTCTTGATGTGGATTTAACAGTATTTACCTTTTTTTTACTACCTAATAAATTATTAATTGCTACAATGAAAGCCGTTTCCACACCTTTTGAAACTTCAAACGTGGGGTTTGGCTGGATTGGCTGCGATTCACCTACTATCCTGAATGTATTCTCAGGTATTGAGGAAACATGGAGCTTAATAGAATGAAGAGCGTAACCGAAACCTTGATTTTTAAGTGAAGGACAATTATTACTAAGCATATTTCCTATTCCACAACCATTTACATCAATATTAAATTTAAGATTTCCAATTTTCTTTTCATGGGTGATTTCAACCCAGATATTAGTTGTAATGATAAAATCTTGAGAAATCTGTAAATCCATATTATCTTTACCTTCAGCCTTTATTGAAGAAGAAACATAGATTTTCTTTTTGAAACTATTAACATTATTATCATCATCACCGTCACCGTCACCGCCACCATTACCATTAGCATTACTATCACTATCACCGCTATCATAATTACCACTATTATCATCATCATTACCATTATTATCATCACCATTGCTATTACTATTAGGATTACCATTATCATCACTATTACTATTATTACTATTTCCAATATTATTTCCATAAATATTATCATCAAAATTACTTGATTTATTTATAGGTATTACTTGATATATAACTTCATACTGATCATCAAACATAGTTTCAAGACATTCTAAGACTGGAGTATCAAGAGATTTGATAACCCAACAATTAATGCATGGTTTAGTAGAATTTTTCGGAAAATCAACTCCTATAGCATATATAGGCTGCGATTCCAATAAACAGTCAATATCATTTTTACGAATAATAAGTAATTTTTCTAATTTTTCAACTTCGATATATGAAATAGCGGAAGTACTAGGTGAAATTGTTGCTTTTGCTGAAATAAACTCTGATGAACAATTTGCATTATTCCAAACATTTGATTTACTACTACAGATATTAATAATCGGCTTATTAAACTGAATACAATTAAAAGTATTACAGTTAATCGCATGATTGGAGCTTTGATTTTCTGCTATATTTAAATTTATTAATTAATAAATTATTTAAGTTTTATAGATATAAATATAACATACATACCTAACAATTCATTATTTTCCATAAAAAACTTATTATCTTGTCCAGATAATTTTTTATAACATTCTAATGCTTTTACTTTATTTTTTTGAATTCCTAACCCGTATCGATAAAAATTTCCCAAATTATATTGTGCAAGCTTACAATTATCTGCTGCTTTTTGATACCAATAAAATGCTTTTTTAAAATCTCGTCGCGTTCCAATACCATTTTTATATAAATACCCTAAATAACTTTGTGCATCACAATTATCTTGTTTAGCTGATTTTTCAAATAAAACAAATGCTTTATCTTCGTCTTCTTTAACTCCAAATCCATTCAGATAAAACTTGCCCAAATGATATTGTGCAAAATTATTGCCATTTTTTGCAGCTTTTTGATACCAATAAAAAGCTTTTTTATAATCTTTTTCAATTTTTATACCATTTTCATAAAATAATCCTAGATAATGTTGTATTTCATTATTATTTTGTTTAGCTAATTTTTCATATAATTCAATACTATACTTTCCAATTTCTAATTCATATTGATGAAGTAATATTATATTATATTGTGCAAGTTTATTTCCGTTTTCTGCTGATTTTTGATACCAATAATGAGCTTTTTCTAAATCTTTTGGTATTCCTTTACCAGTTTCATAAAAATAACCTATCATATTTTGTGCATCACTATAATTTTGTTTGGCTGATTTGTTATACCATTCAAATGCACTTTCTAAACTTATTTCTATTTCCCACCCATTCTAATAAAAATTTCCTAAATTATATTGTGCTATTTTATTACCATAATTTGCTGACTTTTTATACCAATATAATGCTTCTTTTAAATTCTTCTTAACTCCTTCACCATTTTTATATAAAAATGCAAGATTGCATTGTGCATCTGCATTATTATTTTCAGCAACTTGATACAAATTAGGAATATATTCTAAATTCTTTTCTATTCCTTCAACATTATTATATAAATTTGCAATATTGTATTGTGCAATTGTATGTCCATTTTCAGCAGCTTTCTGATACCAATAAAATGACTTTTCTAAATTCTTTTCTATTCCTTCACCATATTTATACAAAGATGCAAGATTATACTGTGCTTTTATATTATTATTTTCAGCAGCTTTCTGATACCAATAAAATGCTTTTTCTAAATTTTTTTCTGTTTGTTCACCTTTATTATATAATAATGCAAGATTATTTTGTGCATCTGCATTATTATTTTCAGCTGCTTTTTGATACCAATAAAATACCTTTTCTAAATCCTTTTCTATTTCTTCACCTTTGTTATATAATAATGCAAGATTATTTTGTGCATCTGCATTATTATTTTCAGCTGCTTTTTGATACCAATAAAATGCCTTCTCTAAATTCTTTTCTGTTCCTTCACCTTTGTTATATAATAATGCAAGATTATTTTGTGCATCTGCATTATTATTTTCAGCTGCTTTTTGATACCAA